GTTGTTTTTTGTTTTTTGTTTTTTTTTTTTTTCTCTCGTATCCCTGCCCTTCATCTTTGTTAACACAGCTTTGTCTTTATTATTTTTATTTTAGGTCGGTTAATATTGTAGCCTTTGGGAATGAAAGAGATGGGTTTTCTGAGGACAATCAGCAGCCGAGCCTGATCTGGAGCTATCTCAGGAGGAGTGCTCTCATTTCCCAGATCGACAGCAGCTTGTCTGCCAGTCACGTTGGAACCCCAGTTTTTACCGAGTATCAAGCCTGCATATGTGGAAATGTCAGATTGGTGGTACATGACTGTCCTGTCTGGGTAAGAGATCTGTCTCAATCTTTTTAACCACACTTAACAGTGTAAGTGGTTTTAATCAAATGAAAATATATCCTAATTTTAAATTATTTTCATTATTGTGGGATTTTATTAATATTTTAATTATTGCAAATAGTAAAAGCATATAAAATGTAACCAGGCAAATGCTGCAAGGTGCTTCAGAAAGTTTCTCATTAACAAGCTGCTGCCCACCTCCTCTGTAGGAAGGTGATATTTTCAACTGTGCTGTTGAGTGAAAACTTTATTGACGACAATCCCAAGATAAACAAGAACTGCTTTTTTGTGACACTGCATTATAAGCACTCTCTCCAAATACTTATCAACAATAAAACAAAACATATTTTTTCTGTAAAAATGAAAAGCTGGTCAGTTTTCCAGCTTTGAAAAATTACAGATTGTAAGATCTGATATCTTGCAAAACGCAGTATATGGACTCATTTTACTTCTGTTACAATGAATACTCACATTTTAACATTATTTTCTTTATTTGAAGGTAAATAAAAAGGATTTTGGCACTGTTCCATGTTGTCAGCACTTTTGTTAGTAAGTGAGATGACTTAGTTATGAGTATGAGCAGATCAGTGATTATATAAGAAATGATACTGATAATCTAAATTAAAACATATTTAATGACTACTTAGTAGCCTTAAAAAAATTAAGCTTAGCAGCTTTTAGAAATTAAAACAATAATCAGTTTCAGCTCCATAATTCTATCCTTTAATTGATTTTTGCAGTCCTGTAAAGGAAAGTTTTTTTGGAATCTGCAGGAAACCTGACAGTTCCAGAAATACATGGTCAGAAGTTTGTGATCTTAAAACAGAATGATCCAGTTTAGCTGTCCTTCTGTTCTCTATTTCTCATGCTTTTTCGTCAGCTGCACTTACAGACACCGGTTCAGATGGACTGGGGGATCCTATTTCTAATCTTTGAAGCCACATGTGACTTGCACATGCAGTTTGCCAGAGTAATTTGAGCGCAGCAATGAGTAAAAGCTCCTGAATATAAATTAAGGCTGTAGGACTTCAAAGGGTGTTTCAGAGGATTGGAGGTTGGTAACTGAGTGGGGAAGGCAGGCAGGGATAGCTGGAGAAGGGCAGAAGAAAGGACCTAGATTGAAGCTGCAGTTCATGTGTTTTACGGCATTCTGTTTGCATTTGCTTTTCTACAAAACAAGGTTCTTCAGTTCTGAAGATCTTATCGTATTTGCCCTTGAAAAGCTAGCTTGTTATTGTCTGCAGCATTATGTTTCTGAGGCCTGTTGTTTTTTCCTTTCACAGCTAAAGGAGGCAGGAGATTTATTACTGGGAATGATGAGGAACAACTGGCTTAGTAGAAGACATCTCAGATAGCTGGACTGGACTCTGCAGGAGGTTATTTGTTCTGAGCGAAGCTATCTCCTTGCTAGGGCTAGGCAGAACAGGATTGTTTTCCATGGCCTGGATGCTTGAGGTTTGGTACGTCACGGTCGTCCTTGCAGAACTATTCCTCTGGTAGCCTGGGAAAGTGGTATATGACAATTTGAAACGGTAACTGACATTGCCATCATATTCTTCAGGGAAAAGGGTTCTTTTTGCATGTTACTGAAACAAAGAGGTGGTAGTATGGTGGCCCTTGCATTATTTCCGTCTCTATCGTCTGAGCATAATGCAAAGGCAGATTTGCATTTTACCTGAGATTTGTATTTGATCTAGATGAAATCTCACTGATAGCTGTGAGTCTCCAAACTCAAGGGCAGCTAACTGCTCTTTGTCCTCTACAGCTATCAGTCTGGAAAAGCAGCATGGAGGCAAGTTTACCAAGTAAAGCTCCCCAGTGCATGAGTGGGTTCTTTTGCAAGATAGGTTATGGTAGAGGGTGCATTTGCTCATGTTTCAGTCTGCTGCTGCACATGTGTTGGCAGGCCAGGACGCTGCTCAACTCTGAGGAGTTGAGTCTGCAGGAGGGGTCAACAGCTCAAGCGTCTTTGGTTGAACTCTTCCTGATGATATGATATTGGGCATCTTACTATGTACTGTATGCCTCTTTGAAAGGGCTGCAGCAAGGTTTTTCAGCAGCTGCCGAAGTGCTCATGCACTGATGGGTTGGAGAAATGTGAAAGGTCTGGACCATGCCATAGTGGCATCGTTCTGCTGGGCACATGGTTGGTGAAAGAGCAGCAGCACTGTCGTGAGAGCACAGTATTTTATAAGCTGAGGGTTGGTGAAGGTGGCTGCCAAACTGGAGAGACAGGAAGCAAGGCTTCTTGGGCATGATTACCCAAGGCAATGCCTATCAAATATTACAGACAGACATGGGAGAAAGGTGTTTCCAACCTGCCATGGGACTGCTGTTTTCACACAGTGGCTCCATAGATATTTTAACTGCCTGTGTGGGTACTATGTTCTTTGGCATTGCTTGGCTTAGAAAATTACAAGGATAAATTCATGTTTGCCAACATGCAAAACAGCGGAAGCATGTTGTGAGAAGCTCTCTTCCCTGTGGCAGTTGCAGGGTGCAGGATGGAAGTGCTGTCTTTGGGAAGGATAGTCTCATTAACGCAGATGACATGGGGTTGTTGAGATGGTGGTGGAGCAGACTTTTCAAAATCTGGGAGCAAAATGACACCGTTTCCAAAACCGTGTTGATCTGTCTGTCAGTCGCTGGGTATATCACTATGGCCTGCCGTGTCCTGAGTTACGTTTGCAAAGCTGCTTGCTGATATCTCCCACATGCAGGGGACAGATACACAAGTGCGCCAACATCCTTGTGATTCACGTGGCTGGAAAACCTTTTGATAAAAAATGCAGACCCAGGATGAGAAGAAATATAAAGAACTAGGGAAAATGTATATGTCTGTTAACATCCATGCTGAATATTGTTATTTCAATAGCTGATCAGTTCCTAATGCATGCTTGAGTTTTGCTCTCATAAAGCATGTTGAACTAGCATGTCCCAGTTTTTCTAATTTTTGGGCGGTTCAGTATGGGAGCTAGTAACTTACAAGGAGTAATTTGCAAGATTAATTTTAAGATTTGCTTTGGAAAAGGTTGCTTTATTTAGCACTTTATATCAGATTTGACAGTCATGGGAACCAAGTTGCCATTTTATTGGCTTGCATGTAATTTTCAACTTCAGCCACTTCATACTGAATTTTGTTATGCTTCTGCATATGTACAAGTAAAAACTGCAGAAGTAGTGCAGGCAAAATTCGTAATATCTGATGGCAAGTGAATCTTCCTCAACTTCAGAATGAAGCATGGCATAGGAGCTATGATTCATATTTTGATTAATTTAATTATGATGCTGGAAAAGAAATGGCAGAATGAAAACTTTACTATGAGTGTACCCTAGCTGTGTTACCTCTGTTGTTCTTTGCTGTCTTGTTTGGAGCAGTACTATAAGGATACGAGAGTGTTTCAGTCCTGGGCTGGGGGTCTTGCTGTCCTTTTTAATTTTTTTCCTCTGTGAGCCACCTGTTGGGTTTTTTTATGTTTTGGTTTTGGGTTTTTTTGGTTGTCTTTGTTTTGGTTTTTTTTTTTCCCCCAGGGAACAATAACTCCAGAAATTTTTTGTTTTCCCCTGGTATATAAAAACTGCCCAGTTTCTAGAGAATCACTGACATTATCATGTTCCCAGTAGCAGAAATATTACAAAAGCAGAAAACAGAGCAGCTGGATTTTGGAGAGTGCCTTGTGCTGGGTTTGGCACTTGGAGAGGGATGGATGCTGTGCTGTGTTTGTACCTGCTCTGGAGGCTTGCCAGTGCCTGCTCAGAGGCTTGCGCAGAGCTGCAGACCTCCATGGAGCTCACCAGTGCTCAAATATATTAACTGTGAATTTTGAAGAAGTGTTCTGTGAACTTTTTTTTTAAATTCTCTCTTTCAACAATCTCTTTTTTTTCCCTGAGTCTTTTCACATTTTTCTGTCTGCTTTTTTTACTTCACCAACAGTAGTTGTTCCTTGAATCCTGTGAGCTTTCTTATATCTATGTTATCATCCATGGCATAGTTTTCTCACTTTTTCCCTGCATCAGCATCCTTGTGCTCCTTGTGCTGGCTAGGCTGTCTGGCCCTTAACATGTCTGAAGGGAAAGGAATCTGATCCACTTTATAATTTTATTTATTATTTTTAGGAATCAAGTCAAACTACTGCTTCAGTACAAAATGAAAGCTTGCAACATTTCTTTTTTTAGTGTGTCATCCTTTCTCATTTTTAAGCTTGGCTGTCCGAAGTTGGCAGTTTACAGCAAGTAGTGGTATCCTGGTGAAATATTTTCCCTACCGTGTTCTTTATTTTTGCTTTTTACAAATGTTATTAAATTACTTTATGAGAGGGCAACACAGGACAATGCTAGCCTTCATTATTTTGTTGGGGGGGGGTCAGTTCAACCAGTTAAAGGTGTTTTGGAAAGCCTCAAGTGAAAAACAAAAGTGGCATTCCAGGGTTGTGGTCTGAATTCCTTTGATTTCTGAAGAAGATACTTCCTTCTATGCTGCAGCTTACTTAGCCGAGTAAATTCAGGGGACTAATAAGTTATGGAGAGTACATCCACAAAATTTGTTCTGCTGTGGACCTGACTGATCAGAAATTGCAGAGAAACCTTGAAGAAATGGGGAAGGCTCTGGTATATGGTGTGGAAAGTATCACTGGAAAGAAGGCTCTGTGAATGGAGAATGGGTCTGTAAATGGCTGCTAGAGAGAGATGAACTTTCCAATATTCCCAGTGCAGCCCTCTTGGATCCCGGGGAAATCCCAGGAGAACGGTCCTCAGGGGTGGCCGGGCTCCCTTGTCCACCCAAAGAGTGTTTGCTGTTGTTGCTGCCCCAGATCAAGGGCTGGGCTAGGTGGACATGGGGACATTTACGAGCAGCTTTTAGGAGTGTGGGCGTTGCAGGGGCACAGTGGATTTCACTGCCATTCCATAAAGGCATTCATAAATTATTTTTAACAAAGCAAGTATTGTCCTCTTGAGGGGTCATGTGATTGTGTAGGAAAATCGCATCTTTATTGCCTCTGAAGGCTTTATTTTCAACATTAATGCTTGAGAAGTATGACTTAGTAATGGCAAGAATATATTGTGAGATGTGTATAATAGAGACATGCAAGGAAAGAATGAAGCTTTTCTCTAATAAGTCCTGAGAGGAATAGCAACAGGAGTATAATTATAATTAATAAGGTCATATTATAATAACCTGAGCTATGCAGTTACTTTTTCCTTTTGTCAATGGCTGTCTGGGGAAATGGACTGTGCCAAGGGCAGGAAGCATGATGAGGAACAGCCGCTACATAAATTTCATAGCTGGAGCCTGGAATTAAGGTTATTCCTGAATCTGAATGTCTGTTCATCATCTGAAGAAATTCCCTCTGCCATTTTTGCATGAAAGTTTCCCTAAAAGTGATAATCAATGTAACTAGCTTAACCTGGCTAAGGCTCCAGATGCTTTTCTCAGTGATGCCTGGGGCAAATAACCCTTCGTTGTCAGAGATGTTTGGGAGGATTTTCCCAGCACAGAGCAGCCTATGCTATGCTGATACAAAATGAAAATAATTGCAATAAGACCTCTGGGAACATGTCTTTCTCCTGTGTTTTTAAGTGTAACAACCATCTTAAAGAATGGGCTTTCGGGGGTGTTAAATATGTCAGGGCACAGGGAAACTGCAGAATAGTAACAGGAATCGGGTGTTGTGAGACATTTGTTGGTGCATTCTGTGTTTTTCACTTCTTGATGTACCCCTGGCTGGCTCTTGCCTTGGGAAAGTGGGGTCCTTCCACACCAGAACTTCACAAGCTTTGGTAAAGTCCATCTTGATAGGATTAACAGAGACACACAGTGCTGGCACAGGGCAGTGGCGGAAAGCACAGAGCTCCACAAACCTGCTGCAATGTGCAGCCACACACACTTGGGAAGCTGTTACAGCCTGCACCACCTCTCCATAGGATTTCTTTCCGCTAATAGTTAAACAAACAGGTGCATTTGCACACCTGTGTGGCTGTTTTCAGTAAGGATTTTGCTAGGTTTCCTCACACCTGCAGAGATGGAAATATGGCAAGTTGGGCTAAGCACAAAAAGGGTAAGGTAATGGCCATATTTTCTTTCTGTTCTTGTCTTGTTTTCCCAAACAAAACTACTTTTCTTATTGGTATTATTTTCATTAGAAAAAAGAAAATCTGTATTTTATTGCTATATCATATTGAGCTCTTAAGCTGCTGTTGTGTTATATGCATGAGCGTGCACATGCAGACAAACACAAGTCTATTTCAATGTACTCCGTGGAGATTCCCATCAATGAGAAGAGCATTAGAGCTGCCACTGGTTGGGGTTAGGGCATGCAGGGTCTTCCAGGCTGGTGTTTTACTGGACAATGCTCTTCTTGGAGAGCCAGGATGAGGGATGGCACCAGAGCAGAGTGCGTATCTGGGTGTGTATCAGATATCTGGTGTCCTGTCCTCTGCTGGTGGTGGGGCTAGTGTCAGGATGGAGCCACAACTCGGTGCACTTTGGTATCTAGGAGACCTGTCCTCTGCCATAGGTCAGGACTAGGTTTATGCTGAAGCTAAGGGCAAGAGTCAGAGTTGTTTTTTTTCCTTGGGCATGGCTGTGTTCACATTCACCAAAATGTTCCCAAAATCTTTCTGTTTTGTAACGTGAAATGATGTCATAATGCATCAGACATTTAGCTTCGTTCTAAAATGCAGGGAGCTACAAACCATATACAAACATATCACAACATGTAAAAAATACGTATTACATTCTGTAAGAAGTTTCCATAAATATTTTTTATTATTAATGCTTAAACTTGTGGCCGAATTCTTGTGTATTTGTACATCTCTGCTCTAGACCTCAGTGCTGATACTGCTGGTTATCACCGAGCTCACAGAGATGGGCATGTGCAAACCAGGGCTGAGCTTGAAGACAGGCAGATAGAAGGAAATTGAAAGGAACAGGCATGCTTTCTGTCTGCCAGCATAGAACAACTAAATATTCTGTATTATTTATTGGTTTGCATTGTATTTTTCTCTTAAGCCTTTCTCATCTTAAATGTATACAACCCTACTAAAAATTCTCTGTTGAGATCTTCATCAGCAAAAACATATTAAAGCTGTCCCTTGAAAATTCTCAATTTTTGCCTGACTACGTGATCAGGTTCTGCAAATACCCATCTAGCTGGCTGTCTCAAAGCACTGTAGCTGGTAGTCCTACTGCTACAGGTGCTTAACTTGTGTTTATGTGTTAACTTTATATTCTTAGCACAGCTTAAATGATTCTGTTAAATGCTGGGGGAGATTTTGCTTAGCCTGAGATTATAATAGTCTCTAACTACGTCGACTGAAAAAACAAACACCAAGAGCAGTGCTCTTAAAGCTCTTGTGAACATGGTGAATCATTGAATATCTATTCTTGATAATTTGTTAATTTTCTGTGGTTTTCTTATTACAGAATAAGAACATCTGTTAAAGAAATTAATAGGAATACATATTATATTTTAGGTTTATTTCCTGACTTACTTCTTTGTAAAGACAAGACTTAAATTGGGTACGATGTGTACTGACAGTCTAGGCAAACATTTGCCGACTGATACATTTCCATCAAGTTCATGCTACCTCTTGTACTTAAGAGCATTGCAGCTATGACATGCCTGAGGGATGGGATGCCATCCAGAGGGACCTAGACAGGCTGGAGAGGTGGGCCTGTGTGAACCTCATGAGGTTCAACAAGGCCAAGTGCAAGGTCCTGCACCTGGGTCGGGGCAGCCCCCAGTATCAATACAGGCTGGGGGATGAAGGCATTGAGAGCAGCCCTGAGGAGAAGGACTTGGGGGTAGTTGATAGACGAAAAGCTGGACATGAGCCAGCAATGTGTTCTCACAGCCCAGAAAGCCAACCGTACCCTGGGCTGCATCCAAAGCAGCGAGGCCAGCAGGTCAAGGGAGGGGATTCTGCCCCTCTGCTCTGCTCACAAAAATGATCAGAGGGATGGAGCACCTCTGCTATGAGGAAAGGCTGAGAGAGCTGGGGTTGTTCAGCCTGGAGAAGAGAAAGCTGTGGGGAGACCTGACTGCAGCCTTTCAATACTTAAAGGGGGCTTATAAGAAAGATGAGGACAGACTTTTTAGCAGGGCCTGTTGTGATAGGACAAGGGGTAATGGTTTTAAACTAAAAGAGGGTAGATTCAGACTAGATATAAGGAAGAAATTTTTTACAATGAGGGTAGTGAAACACTGGAACGGGTTGCCCAGAGAGGTGGTAGATGCCCCATCGTTGGAAACATTCAAGGTCAGGCTGGATGGGGCTCTGAGCAACCTGATCTAGTTGTAGATGTCCCTGGCAATTGCAGGGGGTTGGACTAGATGACCTTTAAAGGTCCCTTCCATCCCAAAGCATTCTATGATTCTACTTCACCACAGCTTTGAAACTGTTTGGAAATGAACAAAAGTAATTATATTGATAGTGCAAGCCACTTGTTGGTATTAATAATCTTGTATATATTTCTCTGGTTCCCATCTGTAATGTTCTTATTTCTGTGACCTGTTCTTCAAAAATCATATTGACCACACCCAACCCAAACTTTGGGTCCCTTTTGTCACTTCTGTGCTTATTTGCTCCTCTCTTCCACATCTTCTTTACTTCATCATTGCTTGTTTGCATTTTCCCCCTAAGATCCCAAGTCCTCTAGCTTTGCCTCATATTGTACAGGACTTATAGAATCACAGAATGGTTTGGGTTGGAAGGGATCTTCAAAGGCCATATAGTCCAAAACCCTGTCATGCACAGAGACATCATTAATTAGATTAAGTTCCTCAAAGCCCCATCCAACCAGACCTGTAACCCTTCCAAGGATGGGACATCCACAACCTCTCTGGGCAACCTGTTCCAATGTCTCACCACCCTCATAAAAAAAATGTCTTCCTCATATCCAATCTAAACCTACCTTCTTTCAGTTTAAATCCGTTGCCCCTTCTCCTGTTGCTACAGGCCCTCGTAAAAAGTCTCTCTCCATCTTTCTTATAAGCCCTCTTTAAGTACTGAAAGACCACAATAAGATCTCTCTGTTCCAAAAGGTCATAGTTTTTTAGTTTTTTGAGCTGATTTTCAGTTCTGTGGACTAGTTCCAGATTTCTGTCAAGAATTTTCAATTGGGTATATGTGCAAAGCCATGGCTTTCTTTGGTATTTATGAGCTACCTTTAGGTAAAGCAGAAATTGAGAAATTATAGTTCTTGTGAAAAATATACAAGTAATAACTGTATATTACATGTGGTAACAGCACAGTTGTAAATTAACAGGATATAAAATAATTTTAGAGTGTTAGTGTTAGACTTGAAGCACAGAACAATGACAAATTGAATGTGAAGTCAAAAAAGAAAGTTTAGTTATGTGATTGAAGTCCTTATCCTGAAGACATTAACACTTGTTGAAGCTACATGGAAGCTTTGTGAAGCAGATAAGAATCACACCCAGCTGTTGAAACTTGTATTTAAAGGTTCATAGGGACCAGAGCATAGTTCTGTGTAAACTTTTCCCTAAAATGTTGTGATAAATAATGGTTTTGTATGAATTGCTATAAACCTCCAACACTGAAGCTGCTTTTATTTTGTTAATAAAAACATTTGAAAGTTAAGTAATTAAACTAGTAAAGTTTCTTCCTGCAAAGTGTATTCCTAGATAAACCCTTTTTTCTTCTTCCTGAAGAATTCCTGAATTCTAAATAAAATAATAAAATAGATTTATAAATAATAAAATAATAAAAGAGATTTATTGTTTATTGTAATGAACAACTTGTTCTCCAAACAAGCAAATTACAAAGCATGAATTCTGCTCTTTGTTTCACGTCTTCAAATAAGAGATTAAGTTGTCAGTTAAAAATACTTTTCTAAGCTTTTGCATTAAGACAGTTGAATAGTTCACCTTTTCCTTTATAGACCGGCAATTCTTGATCGTTTTTTTTTCTGTTTAGGATATATTTGACAGTGACTGGTACACCTCTCGCAGTCTCATTGGAGGAGCTGATATTATTGTGATTAAATACTCTGTCAATGACAAGACTTCATTTCAAGAACTAAAGGACAGTTATGTTCCAATGATAAAAAAAGCATTAAACCACTGTTCAGTTCCAGTAATAATTTCTGCTATTGGTGCAAGAAAAAATGGTATGTATTCAGTCTCCTGTAGTAATAGTTAAAATCTCACTTGGAAGTTAGAGATGCTGTAATTTCAGTAGAAGCTGATTGTTTTTCCAAGTTGTTAACAGAAACAATTAGTCTGTCAGGATGACAGTAATATGTACATGTATTATGGTTCTGTAGACTGGTGTATTGGCAAGAACATTATGCTTAATTAACGCTGGCAATGAAAGGCATCCTATCCTGCTTTGACCTCTGCAATGACTCTTCTTGTGGAGCCATCACACTTGGGGCTTAAATCTAGTGCTTCAGAATAAGCAGTGTACCTTTGAGTGTATGAGATGAATCCTATGGTTATCGGTTATCTCTGGTCATATCTCAGATATAAAATATCTCTAGTGTATAAAATTAAAACTAAGTCCATCAGCTTGCAACCACTGGAGATGGGGTGGGAAAAGCCTCAAAATTATCTAGGATGTCGCTGGATGAGCGGATATACCAGCTTTTTGTGTACCACACAGTGCCATATGCTGCTGCATCAACAGAGCTGACCTGTCACAGCAGAGTAGCTATGGTATAGCCTTGGTATAGCTATGGTATAGCTTTATAAGTTCGCACAATGCCGTGTCCAGGCTGATGAGTAGTCTGCTATGAGCACAATGCAAATCAATTTTACACTGAATATTTAGCTAGCACAAAGTTGTTGTTGTTGCTGTCTAATCAATATGAAAATCAAAGTTGCTCGGCTGTGGAAGGACCATGTAGACTTACCAAGTGTCCAGTAGCCAACGAGGGCAATGCTGGTGAGAACACATTCATGGTTTGGGTAGGCATTAGTAACTTCTGTCTGTTTACATCAGGGAAATAAAGTTCAGAAAGAATACCACAGATATTGATAGAACAAACATAAAAACTTTATTCTGTATTTCCAAATGTTTTGCATTGTGCTTTTGTTGGTTTTCATATGGTCTTTTTAGTCGTGGGGCCTGATTTTTCTTTTTTTTTTTTTTTTTCCCCTAAAGCAATGAATGCAAAACTTGAGCCTGCGAGTTGTCTTTTATTTTGCGAGTTTGACTAAAACAAGTGTTTCTGAGCATCCCTCCTGCTATGAGTAAGGGACGCGATGGATGTAGATGTAGGCATTTATTTCATAATGTACAAAGAAATATTAAGCTATATGAAGCGTGTCTTCTGTGGACATAATGATCCGTTTTGCCAGGGTCTACTTATGTATCTTTTTGCTCAGTGATTGAGAAAGTACTCTTAAAGAACTCTGTAACAATTAAATCTTTATTTTCTTCCCTTTAGTAATTCAGTGATAATGATCAAATGTTTTTATGCTCTGATTTATGCAGGGATAATAAATCTGCCATTCTAAAGGCAAGGTCTTGCTAAACTAATGTTTGTCTTCCCCAGCACCTTTTCTTGCACTTTTTAAGCACATGGTACCACCAATCTGAGTGACTCCACCACTGGCATTTTCCTTCTCCACTCTTTTTTTTTTGTCTTCCTTCCTAAATAATGTGACCGTGGGAGAAGTCAGGCTCTCCAGTCGCAGTTTTGCTTAGGGACCTGCCGGAGCAGACTGCTGTGCAGACACAGAGCCCTTTTGTTTCTAGGAGGTATGTGTGAACACAGCAGTTTGCTCATACAAATTACTAAGATCTTAATCCTCTGTAGTAGCAAATGGTGCTGCCAAAAAAAATAAAAAAAGGCTGTGTTATTACATGTTATCCATAGGTCTGAGCAGAGGAAATTAATATAGACCATGCACGGCACATTTGAAAGCGCATTCATGGCTGGCAAGTTCTTACCGGCATTAAGTGAAGTTGAGCCATGGTGGCTAACAGATTTCTATCAGTTAACTGGCATAATCTTCAATAATACCTATTTTGGCTTAAAAAAAATTATGTAAAATATGTGTAATGAAATCATATTCCGCAGTACGTACATGCCCGTAACAGCTGGGACTGCAGTGGAAATTTTTCCCTTCTGTTACTGGGCATGCTTCCTGCACAGACAGGCCACAGTAATTAAACAACTTTAAGGGTGACATTAACGAATGGTAACACCTGCAGGCTAGTACAACACCTGTGCATATAAGGACACTGAGGCCCTAAGCCAAACCTGACTTCTGGAAGTCCTGCATGACTTTTCTGCCTTAACAAAACCTAATGTAAAATAATGCTGATGTAATGTAAGCTGAGCTTTGTATATCAGCTAATATTTTGAACTGATTAATAAGAAGTTCATTTTTTTTCAGTAATTATCGATTTCTCACTATAAAATGACTATGTTTCCATTTCCCTTTTTTTTTTTTTTTTTTTTTTTTCTTTTAATACATCTTTGTGATTATTTAGGAAGGTAAGTATTCTGGATTGTTTGACAAAAATGTCTTCTTTGCATGACTTTTTACCCCAGGAGTGCCTTGCACCTGCCCCCTGTGCACTTCAGACAGGAGAAGCTGTGTCACCACCTCCGAGGGAGTGCAGCTGGCCAAGGAACTAGGAGCTACTTACCTCGAACTGCACACTCTTAATGACTTCTACATACAGAAATACTTTGGAGGAGTGGTGAGTGAGAAAGCCCTGGGCTGAAAGCAGGGTGGCGCACATGGAAGGTGCATGGCCAATGTCAGGGCTTCTCAGAGCAAGCAGAGGCAGACCATGAGCCCTCCCACCGAGGGCGAGTTCCCACTGATGCTAGATTTAGACTAGGTATAAGGAAGAAATTTTTTACGATGAGGGTGGTGAAACACTAGAACACGTTGCCCAGAGAGGTGGTAGGTGCCCCATCCCTGGACACATTCAAGGTCAGGCTGGGTGGGGCTTTGAGCAACCTGATCTACTTGAAGATGTCCCTGCTTATTGCATGGGGGTTGGAACTGGACGATCTTTAAGGTCCCTTCCAACCCATACCGTTCTGTGATTCTATGATGTTAGCTGAATTGGCAGTACTGAGGTTGCTCTGGTTTTAACTGCCTTCTAGGAAGGTTTAGGAAAGCCATACTACACATTGCAATAATTTTTTCCTGTCCTATTCCTGTCCTTTTCTCTTCCTGGGATGGTATAATCAAAACTCAGCTGAACAAGGCACTCGACAACCCCATCCGACTTTCAAGACAAGTCCTGCTTTGAGCAGATTCCCTGAGCGGGTGACCCCCACAGACCCCTTCCAACCTGAATTATTCCATAATATCCTGATATTTTTTATTTTAATTGCTCAAACTCTCATGGCTGTTGTACTTGTAAAGTGAGACAGGTAAGATTGTTGAATGGCCTGATTTTTCAGCATATTCTTGTGGTCACTCAGTTTGCAGTCGTGACGCAGCTTGCAAACCTGAGCAGAGCCTGGGGTCAGATGCAGCGAAGCTGAGTGAGGCAGAAGCTGAGAGACTTGTTAAAATGTCACACCTCTAATGAGCTGCTTCTTTTTCCACTCTCCTGAAGACAGGGAGCAGTTTCTAAATACAGTCATTCAGATGTATTTGTCTTCTCCATAAAATTATTTCACACTGATATTTAATTTTCAGTTTTACGAGGTGTTTTAAGCTCAGCCTTTTTTTGAACCTTTTGGTTACTTTCTCAGTGGCATTTGGGCTTGAACAAAAAAATGCAGTTCTTTTGGCACAGTAATTTCACGTGGTTTGTACTGTTGTTGTCCCTGGTGTATAAGTACAGTGTGTTTCCATGGGATTTGATAGTAACTTGGAATATCTGGCACAACAGTTAGGCGATTTTTATTGGATCCATTCATTCCCAATTAAAAACAAGGAATCCACTCAACATCTGGTTCAGTCAGAGTATTTTTCTAGTTTTTAGAAAGTGCTATATGTGCTACAATAATACCCTGGATGATGAAAGTGTTTAAGATGTGCATTAACTCAAGCTGAACCACCCTTTGTGCCTCTTCATTCCTGTAAAAGGAACCATTTCCCCTCAGGTACATTTTTATTGCAGTGATGACACTTCTAGTCTGTCCCAGTGAAACAAACCTTGCCCACAAAGATCACCCTGTAATGTGACTGTTTCAAAGGACACAGCAGCATTGCATGGTGGTGGTGATTAGTTGCAAGCTGAAGAGCTCGTATATGGTTTTGTTATTTCCATCACTTTCTCCTGATTGTTATCCATCAAGTGTATTCTTCTTTGTAATACTGTAATTAGCATCTACGGAAGTTGGTAAATTGAATATCTTTGTGCCTGTCATTTCTGGGAAGATTAAATACAAGAGAATTAACCATTATCATTTGAATAAATAGCCTTTTAAATTGTTGTAATTCCAACTACATTTGGTACCTTCTGGTGGTAGAGGAGTATTGGGACTCAATGACCTCGATGACTGTTCATAGTGTCAGTAGCCTCAGTCCTCACACAGCACCTACTTGTGCTCCTTAGTTGGATGTCTAGGTTGTTCTTAAATAACTAGGATTTTTTAAAAATACATCTTGTGTTTTAGCTGGAGTATTTTGTGATCCAAAGTTTGAATCAGAAGTCATCTGAAAAAATGAAGAAGAGGAAAAAGACGCAGAAGTGCCATCGAGTTCAACCACCTCAGCTTGAACAGCCAGGTGCTCACTGATGTCTGATCTCTAGTATCATTTGTTATGTGTGTCATGTTCTTTGTGCAATTAACTTTTTGTAATCATTACTGTGAGCTGTGGTATGTATCGTCAGCTCTTCTGGTTGTGTTGATCTAGTTGCATCATCTTTTAGTGATGGTTTAATTTGGGGAGAATCGTATAGCAATATGCAAGATTGCAATGGACTTCTAATTTATTTTAGACAAAAATAATAAGAGTGGTTTTCTGGTCCACTTGATGAAATAATGCAAACATGAATTAATAAAGCTTTACATGAAAGCTTTACAGACAAATTATAAAAGAAAGTCATTACATCATGCTTTATTATTCTACAGTATATTCAAGTAATATTTTTATTTGCTGCAAATGAAACAAGGGAGAGGTATATGCCCACGCATGTGATTTCTTGCACATGATTTCTGAGCATCTGATGCATTTATTCAGTGAAATAATTACTGACAATTAATTTCCTCTAAATATGTATTTGTCTCTTCTCACATGTACTAGAAATTCACTCAGATCCCTTACATTTGGCATTCACAGGCAAGGTTTCTTTCAAACTTAAGTGCATAAAGAGGTTTCCTTAAAAGATGGACACTTTTTACTAAACTAAGTATTTCTTACATTTTTTATTTTATTGTACTAATTATCTCCATTTTTAGAGTATTTTACTAAACATATTCAAATGGCATATGAGACATTTTCTTATTGAATACTTCTTTTAAAAATTGTCCTTCATTTGATCAGGTCTCTGGAAACAGAGTTGTCCTGTGGTTAATACTTGCCTGTACAGCCTGACTCGTTTTGTTTCGCAGAAAAAATGCCCATCTTAAAGGGCGAAGCCTCGCATTATGACGCAGACCTGCACAACCTGCTTTGCTGCTGCCAGTGTGCGGATGTGGCGTTTTATCCTGAAGACCTCAGCACAGTAGTGGAGGCTCACAAGATCATCCTCTGCTCCGTCAGCCACCTCTTCATGCTGCTTTTTGAGGTGAAGAGCCCTGCCGACATCCGTGACGCCTCCATCGTGCGGATGGCACAGAGCCTCTTCGCAGTGGAGGTGGGGGCGGCCTTCCCCCTGGCCCGCCGTGGCGTCCCACCCTGTGTCCCACCGGTGAGGGTGGTGGTGAAGGACTCCGTCTTCTGCTCTTGTCTGCCAGACATCCTCCACTTCATTTATTCAGGTACCCCCCAGGAACGGGTCCGGCTACTCGTTTCTCATACAGCTGATGTCTCATGGAGGGGTACGTGCATCACGCTAAGGAACATGTCTTTGCCATCGGGAGATGATGTCCTGCCATGTTGTTACATCTAATTTATCCCTTGTGATAATTACGAACAATGTCTATATGAAAAAAGCCCTTCACCTAGATTTAATGAAAATTAAATCAGTTGTCATTCCAGATCTAATGAACATAAATTAAGTGCAATATTTTGCTGACCAAAGTCTGTAAGCTAACATGAATAATATTCAAAAGCTTTGCCAAAAAAATTTAGAGTTTGAGTCAATTTCAGATTTCAGGCTTTTAAAATATTTAAAAAGGTTGCATGTTCTAATCACATTGTTGAGAATGCAGGGTTACTTAAGAAAACTCAAATGATTTCTCTTCTGGGTATGGTGCTGCTGAAGAGAAAACACTGATAACTGGTGGGAGTGCAGGGGGCTCTGATACGTTACATGTGTTTTGCTACCAATTCAGTACAGGCAGTTACCTCACCTACCTAATCCCAGCTGTCTGTTAAAATGACATGGATATTTTTGTGTCATTTTAAGCATTGCTTAGGAATCCTCAGGTAAAAAAGATTATTTTTTTTTTTCTGGAAGTACCCGATACCCATTTATTCTTTAGAAAATACTTTGCAAGCTGTCAGTACATAAGAATATATATTTTATGTTTGTCGAAAGAATCATCAGGCTTTTTAATGATGCATTCTGATTTTAACTGTAATAAAAAAAAGCCCCAAATAATTATATTGTTAGAGCTGCATCCATAAAGAAGCTTAGTCAGTCTCTGTAGATTGATACCTGCCTGACATATGAAAAGGATTTCTGCCTTAGTAGCTGAGAGATGAGTACTGGCTTGTGAAGACACAAGGGAGACTCTTTCAGCTTTCAGTTAGGGTTTGTACATTGAAAACATCCCTTTCAGTTCTTTCCAAACCAGAGTCAAACATAAAGAACAGATGCAGAAGTTTTTCAGTGTGAATGGATTGATTTTTTTTATTTATTGGTGACATGAATAGAGGATTAAACCTGGAATTTCAGCCGGTGAAAGATAAGTGTGTCTGCTGCCTTCTGTGTATTAGTTTTACTTTTGCTTATATCAACCAAGAGATGGGAAACTTTGTACAGTTGTAGTTAAAACTCTGCTGTAAGTCACAGCTCCCAACCTGAAGGGCATTGCCAAAAATCGTTGCACTGTTTAGTACCTTTGAGAGATGACGAGGTCTTTCAAAGATGTTTAAGGCATAGGCTGAGAAGAGATCAGATCATGAGGCAGAGTCATTGTTTTCAGCCTTTCAGGACCATGATGTTTTATGCCTGTGAGGTTATAGACACTTGCCATCCATATGGTATACATGGGAGTTTATAGAGCTAAAGACGCCATATGCTGTATGTGCTGTTTCAGCCTTTTCTGCAGCAGAGTGCCTTCAGGGCTGTGCTGACTTGTGCTTTATCCTGAGCTTTATCTGTCTCTGACTCTTTCTGGCTGCATCGCCCTGCGGATCAGAGCGGAAAGTTGCCGAAAAGCCCCATGGTGTCTTTGAGACTTACTCCAGCAAAGTGTGCAAGGATAAACTATGTTTTAATGCTGGTCAACACTTTTAGTTTTTCCAAGAAAGCTATTGAGACACCTAAGAGAATAGCATGGTTTTGACTCCTAAAATAAGAAAAAAAGAAATTCCACTGCAAAGTTTGTGCTGTTTTTAGCTGCCAGTGTACAGAATATAACTGTGCATGAAGCTTTTCTGGTTCAGATACCTGCAAAGCAATGCAGCCGGCAATATGAGCAGAAGCTAAAGAACTTCCATAGATATTGAAACATTCAGGATTTTTTTCTGAATGTCTACTTGCAGTATGTAGTGATGGAACTGAGAGAAATCCAGAAATTGATTTTCAAAGCAAGGGGGATGCCCTGATCTGTCTGTACTTGATTGCATTCATGTAATACTACCATGGAAGTTTTATTGTGCAAGAGTTGCATCTTGCCCTTCCTAAGCACAAAGATCTGGCTGATTTATGTGCAAAAAACTATAGTTTCTGCAGGATCTGTTTGGCATTAATATAATCTTTTCTCCACCTGCTAAGGACTGTGCCTTGTTGATTTATAATCCAACTTTACCTGGTCTTGTGACAGGTGCTTTCCAGTGGGAACGATTAGAAGAGGATATAAAAAAGAAGTTGAAGGATCCAGAAAAAACTGAACATGTGCTTGAGAAGGTTAAATGTATCCTGAAAACTCCAGGGAAGGTACATCTAACTCTCTTGGGGTAACTGTTAGTATTAGTTACTTAAGTTCTTGGGAAATGGTTTTGTAGACAAGGTTTCTTTGTCAGTCTTTGTTTTAAACTCACTTTGGCTTACACAGCTTTCATTACTTTATCAGTGGGTTGTTCATAGGCATGTACAAAATAGAAACACAGAGATGTTTGATGTAATGTGCAGAATTACTGAAATTGGTAAAAAGCACACAAGTAGGTATCCTAAAAGGATTACTCATATTCACAGCTTTGCACATTGTCTAACAATATGATTATGTGTTCCTAATTCTCATCTATTAGAGGCTGCCCAGGAAAGCTTTGCTTTCCTGAATATGCGCCAAAAGTTATGTTTCTGCAGTAGATCAGGAGAGTTAGTTTCTCTTATAAGTGTTGTGATGTGGGAATCCGTCTATAGCTCAATATATTTAACTCAGCAGATGACTTCACAGTAAAAAGTAATTTATGTCACATTATTATGTTAATAAAAAGTTACAATATAGAATTAGTTTTAGCAGACGTTTGCTCATAGAGCTTATACATTCCCTGGTACTACAGAACTTGCACAAAGTATTTCTGTCAATTTAAATGGGAAATCATCTTGGACTGTCTTGAGATAACATAATATAAAGATCAAAAAGTTTTTTAGCTCTTTTAAGTTTCTGATCACTCAGCTATAGACTTGCCAGTCCTAACTGTCCACAGCTAAAACATTCAGAGGATTGATCTTAGAAAGTCCTGAAAACTTTTAAGATAATAAGTCTGAGTTGTTGTTGTTTCTTCTGGTGTTTTGTTATGTCTTTGGGATACTTTTATTTCACATTTAAAAGTTTTTCTTCAAAGACATGAGGACTAGAAAAGAATTGTTATTTTCTTGATAAAAATTAATTATGTAAAGTGGCTAAAATTTTAACCATAAATTCAACCTCATCTGAATTTCACTTATCACAGTCTAGCAATATGATTTTGATGTTGTTCCTTTTGGTAGCTTTAGATTCCATTTTTAAAGTAAGAAAAACAAAACTGGAAAACTAACTGGAAGTACTGAGTTTTGGAGGATCTTGATGCTAGCATGCCCAGGTTATTGTAACAGAAGTCTGTGTTTCAGCCTGTGAGCTCCCTCTGCCTCTGTGGAGGCAATATCAAGAAACACAAAATTTTTCGCTGCCTTGCATCTGTACATGGCATCGCACCAGGGGGTGGATGTGTGTCCCGTCAGTGCTCCCCCAGAGCCCTCAAACCTTGTGTTTCTGCAGCCTTGGGTCTGAACAGGGCATGTATGAAAAAGTTTGGAGTCCAGAAAATTCATGATGCAGTCAAACCTGCCCAGAGGTGCTGGATGGGGGAGTTTTGTCACAGGTCAGAGAGTACCAAGGAGAGAGCTGGGGTGTAAGTATAGGAGACAGAGATGTCTTAGAGCTGCTGCACTGTGGGAAACAGGAAAATAAACGACAAAGGTGATTGCAGAGGATTGTGCGTGCGAGAGGCACGGCTGAGTAGCATTAGCAAAAGAGTATAAAGCAGGAAGCAAAAGGCTGTTTTTTAGTTTCCCCGTATAAATGATGTCTTGCAATCTTTTATTCTGTGGGCAAGTATACATGAATGTGTTTTATTAATAATTTATTTGGCAGCTGAACACTGTAAAGGACTGCAGATCTCACCAGATAAAACAGCTGTATAATACTTCTCTCAGGCTGTTCTTTAATACACCTGTCCTAGCTGATGTCATCTTCAAAATACAAGGTATGGTACCTCTGCTTCTGTTGACATGGGCACCACTGTGCCTCCAGCATTTATCCAGTCTGCAGGAGAGTGGGAAATGGATGTGACTGTATTTTCTGATGCATCAAAACTAAGAAAATATATATGTTTTGCTATCACTGTGGAAAGCAGTTTTTTCTTAGAACACTTGTCCCTATGGATGCTTTACAGCAGTGTCTCCTCTCAACATGATTTATCAGGGCTGAGCATGTACGAATGCCCTCTACCTGTTATGGTACACTTTGTGCCTTCCTGATTCACACGCACCCCTCAGAGGCTTAACAAAATGAGGAATGTGCTGCGGGAAAGGCTCCTGCAATGGCATAGCACGAAGGTAACCATGCTAAACCAGGGATTGCATCACGGGGGATGGTGATTTTAATTTAAAACTTATTTATCTCGCTCACGTTCCCACCTGCACAAGCACTGGGATGTATCCGAGGGCTCTGCCCAACATTAAACCTCAGAGAGGCGTGGACTCCAGTGGCCATGTCGACACTCATTGCCCTCAGTGAAAAGACCAGAGATGCTGGTTATTGACTCCTGACCACCTTCCCTCTGTCCATGGCAGGCTGGTGCTGGCTGTGGATGTGCCTTTCTCTGCCCTCCAGAAACTGACAGGGACTTGTGTCCCACTCCTGTGCCTCCTTAGCCTTTATTCACTGCCCTTCTGCCCCCAATGTGGGCATCCATAGAAATGCATGTATATGTGCTGGGGTTTTGATGACCTGCTAATCTAGGTGCCATCAACATCTGCTGTGTTTTACTGCCCTTCTAGATGCTCCCCTACCGATCTTCATGTTTCTGTCACAGGTCACTGCAACTTCTGCATGACAGGTGACTCCTTATGAAAGCAACCTTCAGCCTTGCAGGTGCCTAGGTTAGACCTGCCTATTGCTTAACCCTACAAGTTTGAAAAGAAACATCTAAACTATTGCTTGTTTGCTTTTGTTTTTTGTTTTTTGTTTTTTGTTTTTTTTAAAGTTTGTGGAGATGATGGTAATTATTTAGTCCTCTTTGTGGCTAGGATTAAAAATATTTGGGGGAACAGAGGCTGGCTTTTCATGCTGACTTGCCTGTAATAGACTCTTAAGTTACAAAGGTTGTTGTCGGTGTTGCGTAGGTCTGCTCACAAAGATGCTGAGTGCTCCTTGGCAAAGGCACAGGCAGGAGCCGCGTCGTTGAAACTGTCTTTTGTTCCCTTTTTGTCTGCAACACTGTGCTTGGGTGCACCAATACGCTGCAGTGTCACGGCTGATTTTTTCTGGAAATTAAATGCACCCATATAAATAAAGATACGGGGGGCGGGGAGTGTCGCATCCTTTTGTGAGAATAAGAGTGAGATGTTTTTTAAATGCTAATGATTTTCTCGATTTGTCAATGCCCACCCTTCATGTAGAAATGGTCTTTTAGGATTAGACAATTGTTTAATTATTTTCAGCTTTAAATCTCAGAGCCAAGTATGAAACATTAATCCCTCAAACATAAGCACATGAGGACAAGCAGATTCTTTCTAGATGTTCTGTTTAATATGCAGAAAAAACAAAAAGCTCTTTGAAAATGAGAACAAAATACTGATGCTGTTTAACGACATGAACAATTCATCTCAGTGTCCCACTCCTGAAAGAGGCTTTGTGGGAAGTTGATGAAACCATACCACCACTATATATTTTACAGAAAAAAAATTACTGCCGAATGGGTTGAAAATATTTTTTAAAAAGTGTTCTTATCCACTTCTAAAATGGAACTGTTTTTCCTAATTCTTGATAAATCTTCCAAGCCTTTTTCTGTAATTCATCAGCCACAATAACTGTACTAAAATTAAATAATTACTAAGAGAAACTGAAGGCTTTAGTCTTGATCAGGCAAATACATTTTTAACTAATTCCTTGAATATTGGGGGTTGCTTTGAGCTTTCTAGCTTACAAAAGTACTTGGGAGCTATTGAAAATGGGAGCCCGTTATATCTGTGTAAAGACTCATAATGTGACTGAACCTCCTAATTAGTAGGTAAATATCCAATTGCATGCACATACAAAACTGCATGCATATCTTACGTCACGTCTACATCATGTATTGCTCATGTTACGTGCATAAATATATAATACCATGATATGTGTTCTCTCTCTATAGAAATATATAAATTTTGTATGCAGCTTAGACAATTCAGAATAGAAGCACAGGTGAATAGAAATAGAACAAAAATGAAAAAGTGCCAGATGTCTTCAAGGAATTAGGCAGGTGGCAGGGTTGTGGTTAAGGAGGAAATTAAGACAGTCACTTCTATATAAGTATTTACGGTATATTTATCTTGCATGACAGTTGATCTATTTATTATCATTTTGATTAAAACATTTATACCTGACTGTGAGTTCTCATTCTGTCTTTGGTTGCTGTCCTGTCTGGCACTTGTTTGGCGCTTTCTTGCACACAGGACTGTTGAGTTCAGGTGGACTCTGCAAAAGTCTGAGTGTCAGGACTGGCAGCTCAGGCTATCAACATTTTCATTAAGAGACTGCAAGACCTCTACTGTGCTGGGCTGTTAACCTTACTAGGTCTTACAAATGCTGTAGTAAAGTAAATGATTCACTTCAAACATTACAAAATGGAAAACTTTCTAGAAAGATTTGTCAACATAATTTTTGTAAGACACCCATCAGGAAATTCGCTTAGGCAAAATACTTAATCTGGTTAAATTCATACTTACTTAATGGATTTAATGGAATTTCAGCTGTGATAATTTGCCTTTCTCTGTGTGGTTATGTGAAAGTTTGACTCTGGAACACACATTCATTACCAATGGGACTACTGATGAACACAAATTACTCATTTGCATAATAATTCACAGCACTGCATATTTATGCAATGAGCCAGAGGTTCAGTTAGTGTAAACTGGTGTAACTCCAGTGGTGTCAGATTTTAAACTAGTTGAAAGCCTGGTTTTGACTGATAAAATTTTGCCCTATTTGGAGCACCTGGTGTTGGGAGCAAGTTGTCATAATAAATTTGGTATTTCTTTGTTTGCTGGTGGCTGCTAGGCAGATGTAAACATCTGGTATAAAGTGAGCGTGTCGTTAATTATCAGTTGGATACTGTTAATTTTAAGCATGCTAAAATTGTTTTAAATCATGTTCAGTGAAATGAAGGCCTTCTAAGAAAATATGAGCTTTAAAATCAAGATATTACAGTGTATTTAAAATGATCATGTATTCTGTCTTGCGACCTGCAGGTGCAACTGTACCAGCCCACAGAGCAGTTCTGGTAGCTCGCTGTGAGGTAATGGCAGGGATGTTTTATGGTGATTATTTTGAAGCAAATAGTATTCTGGTTCCAGTGTATGGGGTTTCCAAAGACACTTTCCTCTCCTTTCTAGAGTATCTTTATACCGACTCCTGCTGCCCAGGTAAGAAAATTTAAAAATACACATATATCTGTTACTCATTTTTCCACAGTGGGTCACTGATAGGAAGCAATGTAGCAGCATTTATTTCATTGAAAAATGCCAATATTTTCATGGATAATGTCTCAAGAAAGAGAACTTGTTCTTTTGGTACAATAAAAACGTAAATCAATCTTATTTGAGTAAAATCAGCTGGAGGCACAACAAATATCACTGTTTTGTGCTTACATAGCAAGACTCAAAAAACTATGAAATTTAATTTCTGGTCCATTACAATATTTGGAATTTTATTTCTATATCAAAATAATATTGCTTTCTAATCTTAATTCTGGGCTTTATTTAAAAAATGTCATTTTGTTTAGCATATATTTTGTTAATTTTAATACAAACAGGTTTAAATTGCAAGATTAACTTTTTTATACACATGGATATCTTATTTGTATGCAAAACCAGAAAAAAAAAGTGTCAACTGGAGTATTTGGCAAGAAAAATTGAGCTAAAGTATTCTTTGTGTCTTAACCTTTGTGTTCTTTAATGAGAAGAAAATCTACATACTAAATATGAAATATGATTGAAGTACATATAATATTCTTTTGATTGAATGAATGAATGATGGTATGATATGTATTTTTGCTTTCATTTTCTTTTCAAATAATTCTACCTTATTCTTAGGTTTTCCGTATGTTTCTCTTTTCAGTCTAACATTTCCTTGTCCATCAGTTTAAATATGCAACCACCATATCACATTTTTTTAAAAATACCTTTGCTCCATTTTCTCTTTAGCCTTTTCACTATATTTTCTTGTACATGTGTCATAGAGGTTCTTTTTTCAAAGAGAAGTTAGAAAGCTGAATCCTCTTATTAATCATAACTTACTTTAAATAGACCAGGAGGACTTGACTCAACATCCTCAAGGTATAGGATATTGACTACAATTTATTACACTTGCCTTCTAAAAAGTACTAACTACTCTTTTCCTGTTAATTACTTAGTTTTTCTGGAAAAAGAAAATAATGTAGAAAACTTATAATAATGAAAAATGAAAGAAGGTGATCAGCCTCGGTTTGATTTTTGTCTCTATTGTTAGGTGTTTAAAAGGTGTTAAAACTCTCTGTGAGAAGTGGCTTTGATGATCCTGTCAAAAAAGTAAACCACCTGTAACTTCTGTTTGCTTGTTTTTCAGCCAGTATTCTCCAAGCTATGTCTCTCTTGATCTGTGCAGAGATGTACCAAGTAATGAGACTCCAGCATATTTGTGAGCTTTACATTATCACGCAGCTTCAGAGCATGCCTAGCAGGGAACTGGCATCCACAAGTCTCAGTATTGTTAGCTTGCTCAAAAAAGCTAAGGTACGTGTTTTATGTATTAAATAAGAATCTATATGTTGACTCTAATTAGTGGGGGGGTTGTTTGTTTTTAAAACATAATTGTTAAGATTTTTAAGATCTTAATAATTTCCATTCCCAAGGACAAACACTGATATACAATCTATTGATTAGGGGTATCTAGTGGCACAAGGTTGGCTAAAATAAGGCCTTCTTCAGCCTTTTATTGCAGAATGTGCAGTCATACCATAATCTCTGTGATTTCCTTCATCAAAGACACATTGCAGTAATTCAGCTTACTTGCAACTTCTGCCAGAAAAGATGTGTTTCAGGCAAGTGAAGCTGCACTACTCCTTCTTTTAGATAAAAACAAAATTGTATTATATGCAACTGGCAAAGGAGATCTAAACTGATAGAATATTGAGTGAAATGCATAAAAAGTATGAAAAGAAAAGATTAGAGGCTGAAGGAGAGAGAGAGAGAGAGAGAGTCAGACTTAAGCAAGTCTGACTTAAGTCTTAAGCAAGATATTGTCTTATATGAACAGGATTTTGTGGAGAAAGAGAAGACAACAAAACCAACATGCCATGCACCTTACCTTTGATTGACTTTTGCTTCATTATCTCCTACAGTCAAAACTTTATTTAGTAAACTGCTGTCTTGACAGTGGAAATCTGAAATATTTTGGTATGCGAGGTGTGGTTGTGTTTTAGACATGGTAGCATTAAGTGTTGTTTGTGTTTCCTTTATTCTCTCAGTTTCACAATTCTGATTGCCTTTCAACTTGGCTTCTTCATTTTATTGCCACTAACTACCTCATCTTCAGTCAAAAGCCTGAATTTCAAGATCTTTCAGGTAATTTATCAATTACTTTTAAAACAAGAAATGTTTTACAGTTCTGCTTAAGTGAGGTACTGGACAAGACTACTTCTGCGTGAGAAGATGATTAGGACTTCTTTAGGTTATACAGTCTAGTCCAGTCCCGAGTCTGTTTGAGCTGGATGATTTACCACCCTACTGTGGGACCAGCATGTGACAAGTGAAGAGCAGCATAGCCAGCAACCACTTCCCTTGTCTTTTGGTTCCTGTGCTGATGGCCAGGTTCCCACCCATAATTGAATTGACTAGGGCAGTTTGGTCATCATATGTCAACCCCTTCACCTTATGTATATAATTTTGTTTAGTTTGTACATTTTAATCAAGGTAATGAGTCACTTCTAATACCTGCTCTTTAAGGGCTGGGGTTTTCTTTGAGGAAAATAGGATTCTTACAGTACTCTCCAGCAGATCTCATGAAATCAAATAAATAATGATGTCCATTCAAGTAAATAAGCCCATGTTCTTCCAGGGAACTCATATTTATTTACCGAAACAGTATATTTGTTTCCTGACATGTAACTCTAGAAAGTTTTGCTCATTGCCTTTGAGATTTTTCATCACGCTGCTGAAGGTGATCTTGATGAGTCCATCTCTTTGACCCATGGTTCATATTCAGACCATTGGTATGGGGCCAGTGTATTCCAGAAGGGGATTTTTCTTTTCAGTGAGCTGAAGCTCTGTTTGGTCCAAAATACATTGAAGGTCCTCTTTCCTCATTTGCAAGGCTCATATATGTATGTGTGATGATGGATGACTTTGTAATCATTATGAGCAAAGAAAGGAGAGCTAGGTCCTCCCTGCTTTGTTTGGACCTGGAATTCATCTTCCAGTGGCTCATCTGTGCATCTTCTGAAATGTCCATTTTGTATAGCCCGATCTGGACTAAACATGAAAGAGCAGGTCACTCACCAGTGGGTTCAGTCTACAGTGGACTTGCTTTGCTTCCCTTCCTGCTGGTTCAGGTGTCAGGGTGTGTTTGATAACACTTTGTGGCATCTTCCTCATGACAGGGCTTCAGGTTCAACCACCCTGAGGTTCTCTTGAAGCTGCAGGAATCAGGTGGTTGTCTCCATTTGGTGAAGGTGGGAGCTGCCTCTGACTTCCCCTTGGTGAGACAGGAGACCAGAGAGACGTGATGGCTTAGGGTCACCACAGGGCTCAATCTAGGCACATCTACTTGCCCGTTTTCCAGTTCCCCAATGGAATATCAATTCTCAATATCACTTATTAATTTTTTTTTTCTGCTGCAGAAAGTAATAATAATAGAGCTTCTGTCTCCATGTTGCAATTATTCTGATGGATATCAGGCTGCATATGAGCCTGTCGTGAAACTTATGGATGCTTCTGAGAAGCATCACTTATCAGCACTTGTCAGCGTGTACTCTGACAGCGCCCAAATAACTCAGGGAGGAGCTGTACAATATCATCACGCCAAATGCCTGCTGTGCAATCACCTGGAGTTTCCTCCATGCTTCCACCACTTGTGGACCATCCAGGGCTGATGCAGAGCAGTACTAAAACTGTTGGCTGTCAGATGATATTTCTGAAGTCTCTGGCGGGTGATAGATACCAGGCTGGCCAATTTGGAAAGCACCTGGGGATTGACTTGAAGGAAAAGGGTACCACAATGCCCACCATACCCCATAGAAAGGCTGGCAATGGCAGCCCAAGGGACACACAGCATTTTGGTTTATCCTCCCTCTTGCCCTTTCATTCTTTGCCCTGGATTTCTTGATCTCAGCCAGCTCTTCTGCTGACCCCTCACATCCCCTTATCGGTGAATGGCCCAAAGGAGCCACCCCTGCTCCACTCACTCCCAGCCCTTATCCCACCCACGCGGTTCTCCTCTGCCTGCACTGGAGATGGGGAGATGGCTGGGCACGGTCCTCTCCCAGACGTCTGCCTCCGTCCCTCCCAGGCTGCACACAAGCAGTGCTCCGTGTCCAGCACTCGGAGGACCACGCCGCAGCGCTTTCTGGTACCGAGGAGACCTTGCTGCAAGAGCGGGCTGCGGCAGGGAGCCTGCCTGCACCGTGGGTGCCTCGGGGCGGGCGG